ATATTTGATTCATTAGTTTCCTAGTTTGTGTCGTTACTTTGGATATTAAACGATACTCTAAGTACAAAGTTTATTGGTCAGACCTCATTTCCTATTCGGATTTTAAAGCATCTACTTATCTTGAAAGACTTAAAAGATTCTACTAAATTACTTAATTATGGTTCCATTTGTATTATCTTATTCTCTCTTCGATTACTTCCCTAACACTAACATTAAAACAAAAGCCCTTTATAATTCTACATAATCAGTTTTAAATTTATATTCTATATCTTTCTTGTCATAATTAAATGTTTATTCTTTGCTTTTAGTTATTATAACAGAGTTCATTGCTATTGATGAAGGAGGGGACTCGACAATAACTTGCTCTTCCGGTACATATATTTCTCTACCATAGCTTAAATCAATTTTATCAGAAGGTATATATAGTCTCCAGTCTTTATAATATGTCTTGTATCCAAGATATGCAATTAGAACAATAGGTGCCGCTAAATAATTTTGGAAAAACACTAAGACATCCAATTTTCCATCTTTTCCAATTGGTGCAATTGCTACCCAAAACTGTGAAATTAAACTAAACAATGCAATCGATAGTGCAATCCAAGATCCCCAGCATCCTGTAGGTGCTTTATATCCAATTTCATCTAATGACTTTCCTTGTTTTATCATTGCTCTTCTGAATCGTATATGTGATAAACATATTGACATCCAAAGAAATATTTGCGAAAGACCTGAAATGGCTAATAACCATGTAAATACTTCCTCTTTATATGGACTTGACGCAACAAATCCGATGGAACCAAATAGTGAAGCAAATAAAATACAATACCATGGCCGTCCTTCCTTATCGACGTAATTAAATATTTTGGGAATTTTCCCTTGTTCACTTAATGATAGTAATAGCCTTGTTGAAGAGTAAAAAGCAGAATTGGCAACTGAAACAATACTGATTAAAATCACAGCATTGATTAAGTGTGGTACTACCTTAACACCATGAGAAGCAATTGCTATTACAAATGGAGAAGAATGAGAGCCTCCCCCAGAAGTTGACCCCATTAATTGAGGGCTGTCGTATGGAACCAAGAAACCTATTAAGATCGTGGTTAGCATGTACAAAAATAAAATTCTGTATACAGTCTTTTTACAGGCACTAGGTATTGCCTTGATAGGGTTTTCTTGTTCTGCAGCAGTTAACGCTAGGACTTCAATGCCACCATAACTGAATGCTGCATAGCAGAATACTGAACAAACACCTTTAAATCCATTTGCAAATGCACCAGGGTTTTTCCAATATATCGTTCCAATATAACCGTCAGTTCCTATAGCACCTGTATTAATTAGAATTGCTAATAATACAAAACCAACCATCATCAATACTTTAAAAATATTGCACAAAAATTCTGCTTCAACATATCCCTTTGCACCAAAACAATTAGTTAAAACCACAATGACAAGTACAATGGCAACAAAGATGTTAGGATTAATATTAGTCCAATAGCCAATAGTCATTGCTGCTGTCACTAATTGCAATGGCATGACAGTAAGCCATTGAAGGGTATAAATGATGGAGATAGCAAAACCAAGAGCAGGATCGACTAGAATTGAAGGATACCGAATATAATTTCCAGTCAGTCCAGAGTAACATATTCCTAATTCACCAGCAGCTTGGACTATAAAATAAACCATGATAGATGCTACACCATAACCTATTACTAACCCTGCAGGTCCACTTTTCGCTAATACTTGACCATTACCCACCAATAGACCAGTACCAATCCCAGTACCTAAACTGATCATTAGTAAATGACGGGATTTGATTGATCTATTAAGTTGATTTTCTGTCTTTTCTTCATTCTCTAAAGGTTTTGAATCATCTCTTAAAGATTCAGATTCAAATGAATTTGTAATGCCAGAGGTGACCTGTGTGTCACCGTTCTTGATACCTTCATATTTAACTTTATCTCCTTCATTTAATTCATTAACTGACTTGAAATCAATATCAAGGTTTCTGCTTGTGTGAAGTGAAGAGTTAGTCTCATTTAAATGTTCAAATACAGTGCTTAACTTTCTTTCTTGAGAGCTAGAAAAATTATACGCACTCATAATATAATATTGTTTAATATATATTCCCTATATGGTATTTCTAAATCTTGAAGGTAGGAAAAATATACAAATTAACTATTACTATTTACATGTATTGCAGAAAGGTTATTTACAGAACAATATCCCCTTGAGCACCAAATTTGATGATCCGACTATCTTTTTATACTAGAGATTGTGGAAACATTGCTTCATCCTGTTTGTGTAGATAAATTTAGTTATTTTGTAATGACCGCAACATGAGTAGTACTGGATTAGCTTTAGTAAATTATTTTATGGCGTTATTCCATTTTTTATGGATGTATAACCTCTCGTATACTTAATATTAATAGAGTCCAGATCAACACAATAAATTAGATACATTATTTGTCAATTAATTGAGTCTTAATTAAGTAATATTATTAGTTATAATTGTGAATTTGAAGACTGACATTATAGATATATCTAATCATTCTGTATTCTTGAATTTTAGTGGGTGCACTTTTCAATCAGCATTTTTTTCTATCCAACTCTTTAGTCCATACCAGTCAACATCTGTCTTTGACAGGTCTTTAGGTACATAATAATCAACTGGGAATTTATTTCTCACTGCAACTAAGCAAGGCAGTGAAGTAACACCGAATTTTTCAGGCAAATGTTTGTTATCATCCCATTCCATTTCAACATCTACTGCATTAACATTCTTCTCAGTTTCTAATAAAATGATTCTTGTTAGGGCACCTGTTATTTTATTTGAAGTGGTATTATTTCTTTCTGAAAAGTTCAAGATGAGTGGTATATTACCTGATTGCAAAATTGTTGATGATAATTCATTTTCATCTCTTACTGCTAAAAAGGTTTGATTCTGTTTCTTTAAGTTTGAAATAGCATTAGCTTGTAAATACCAATTGGAAAATGATCTTTTAGCAATTGACAAATTTGAAATATTTAGGTTTCTGATTAACAATAGTTTTGGCATGATTAAAATCCTTTTTTTTTTGATTCAAATGTTTAATATAGTTTAATTAATTCAAGAAGAGTAATTAGACATCCATACAAAGAAATGAGCTAATTTAAATCAAATTTAAACCACGAACTTATAAACCGTAAGAGTGATTTTAATACTTAGGTAAATTACAACCTTATCTTCCAAACCATATATATATATATATATACTTCTCCTTACTCTGTATCGGTTACTATAGTGAGAGAAGGACAATAATTGCTCTTTAGCGTTAATATACCTGTTATGTCCTAGATTTCCAAAAGAAACTTGATTGCTAAAGCAAGGTAGTTTTGAACAACCCAATCGTCACCAAGCAGTAAATAGCTAACAATCAAGTTCAACACCTTTTTAAACCATATTAACAGATGGCAAGATCTCATTCAAGATTATGAATATACTTTAAATTAGTAAATTTATTAGTAACATTCGTTCAATTTTAAGAAAAAAAGAATAGTGTACTTATCTTCAGAAATATCAAATCAAGTAATTTTGATTATAGCAATGCCATGAAATTGAGGAATTTAAGTTTCGAATTCGAAATTGAAATCGGAATCGGAATCGAAGTAGAAATTGTCATTACAACGATAATGCATGATGAATCGAGTAATTAACGATTAATTAATAACTTGAATTTATCTTGATTTATAAGTATTTGTACGTTAATATGGTAATGAACACCTCTTTATATATTTAAATTTAATGATATATAATTAACTGTTTTATAACCGGAAATAATATTGCTGAAAACAGGAAGAAAGGAAGTGAAATTGATATTTATATATCTGGCCATTTAGAATTATTATTAAAATTTTAGTCAGGGTACTATAGAAAGATATTAATAAATATTAGAAACTTTTATATATAGTTTAAAAAGGTGAAAGTTTTTGCTGGAAAAGCTTTAAAATATTTTGAGATATTGTAGTGTATTGATAAAAGGATAGATTGATAGATTGATATAAAAGACAAAAAAAAAGAAAGTATTTTTCAAGCTATGAGTGTTGGTTATGAAACTGATAGTGCCAAAACTACAAATGGTTCTATAAATCAAGAATATTTATATGGTGGAAGCAGGGGAGCTTCTCACAAGCCAAGACTAATCGTTTTGATTAGACATGGTGAAAGTGAATCTAATAAAGATAAATTGGTCAATGAACATACTCCCAATCATCTAATACCACTAACTGAACATGGTTGGGCTCAAGCAAAAGCTGCAGGTATAAATTTATTGAATATTTTAAATGTTGACGATACATCTATTGTTGAAGAATTAAAAGAAAAGTACTCTGTTACTCAACATAACGATGCATTATTCGAGGTAAAAGATTATCATCGTTTCAATAAGAAGAAGGATTTAAATGTCGTATTTTATACTTCACCTTATAGAAGAACCAGAGAAACCTTAAAAGGTGTATTGGATGTGATAGATGAATATAATGAAAAAAATTCTGGCATAAAACTGATGAAATGACCAGATATGAGCCCTGTATAAAAAAAAATCAGCCACTTGGCGTCAAAAGCTTCCAACAGGTATTCATGATTCAAACGCCGGTTGTAATAACTTTCTACCAGAACAAAAAAATAATCTAATAAAGAATGAAAAAAGTTATATTTGTTACAGGGTCAAAGATGATCCAAGAATCAGAGAACAAGACTTTGGTAATTTCCAAGAGGTTCGTAGTATGCAAGATGTAATGGAAAAAAGACAAACGTATGGCCATTTTTTTTTCAGATTCCCTCAAGGTGAAAGTGCTGCTGACGTCTATGATAGAGTAGCAAGTTTCCAAGAAACCTTATTTAGATATTTTGAAAGAGATATTAAAAGAAAACCTAGAGATGTCGTTGTACTAGTTACACATGGTATATACAGTAGAGTTTTTCTAATGAAGTGGTTCCGTTGGACTTATGAGGAATTTGAGTCCTTTGTCAACGTTCCCAATGGTAGCATGATAGTGATGGAGCTGGATGAATCAATCGACAGATACGTTTTGAAGACGGAACTTCCAAGGTGGTGTTAATACATTCATATATTTTTAGCAATACGGCAATAAAAACAGTTAATAAAAGTGCATTTCAAACTGACTCAATTTTCTTCATTCAGTTTGGTTATTAGATAATGAAAATTGAACAACTGATGTAATAAAGAATTTTCCCAGACAAATTTAATATTTCTTCGAAAATAATTGATCCTTTGTTAATTTTCGAAGAAGGTAGCTTAATCAAAAATGTATTTTGTATATCCGATTATCATTCTGATTTAATATTCATCAGTCCTACTAGCTATAAATTTAATTAACAAAACAATTCGAAGTCTCTTCTTATGGATTGATGACGTTTAGCATATAATGATAAATTTTGTTAGCTTATAAAGTTTATACCTATCATAAAGCTTTTAAAATATATTATCCTAAATAAATATAATTGAGTATATATTATGTTAGTTAATATAAATATATTTCATTTTAACGATAGTATTTAATTTTCGATGCAATAAAAAGATAATGGTATAATTATCCATAAAGGTGAATCATTTCCCCAATAAGCTGTCTATAATAAATGATCAAACTTAAAAAGTACTTTATTTTTCTAATAATTCTATTTTCCAGATGCCATTACTGTAGATGATATATGAATGCAATATATAGGGTATGGCTTTATTTCACTTTCCCTTCTGTTGTAATGCATTGTATAAGTTTGGAAACTATTGTGTTTAGACTAAAATTCCAAAATATTTGACTCTATCACCCAATTTCTCTTTCAACTCTTCCCATTGAACAATAAACTCATCTGCAATCCAATATAGAACTTTTCCCGTTAAACTCAATGAATTTATTCTAGCCAGTGATTCAATATATACTATGTTTGAACTTGAAGAAAATGGGAAAATCAACTCTAATAGTTTAAACCATAGGGCAAGAATGCAACAAGTACCTGGACCATTAAACAAAACCAAATGCGGTGTATTTTTCATTGCTTGTCTTATTTCAAAAACATAACCAAAAGACTTTATTAAGGTCATTAAGATACTTTTTATACTGGTTAATTTAGATGCACCTACCTCTCTGGCTTTAACAAATCTGTAGTATTTTACTTTACAATCATATGATTTTGCTAATTCCTTAAATTTGTTATATGAATCCACATCAGAGTACCCTACATGTATTGTATTCCCAGAAGATAGAAGTATATTCTTGTAATTTTTTAATATTATCAAAAGTTCACCAGTATGACCACCAGACCCTAAAAAGACAAATACATGCAATTGGCCACCAAAATTCTTATATTTGTTCAACAAAGCTTGTGTTTGACGTACATGAGATTGTTTCTCATAAGTCCTAAAAATTGGTAGGATTGTTACTAGTCGCACTATAAAAAATGCTACGACAACTAAAAATAAAGAAGCAATGTATGCAACAGCCATTTTTCAATTTGAATAAGTTGTTTGCCTAATAACAATTAGACTTCCAAACAGAAATAAGTTTTTATTTGTAGATTTACATTAGATATTTAATCCTTTTTTATTAATCCATTTTGCTTGATATCTGATCAACTTTTTCTTTCGTCTAAAAGCTTCGATATTTATATTTCGCCTTGAAATATTAGTCCATATACAACAAGGAAGGTCTGTCACATAATGCTTTAAAGCTTTTAGTTATTCCATACATAAGTGAATTGATGTCATTTTATGTATTGACTCTATTAGAGCAATTGAATGACTAGAAGGTCAATATTTAGTTGGAAGATGGTTTTTGTAATAAAATTATCTCGTTTTCAAGCTTAGGTTATGCCTCCAGGAATTGATTTGAGAAACTATATTTTACAGGGAATTTTATCACTCATGTTGGTTAAATCATTCTTAGCTAAGATTACTTTTTTGTTTCAAGGAACAGGGTAGTTTAAGATTATGTTTGTAGTTGCTCTTAATTTTTATTTTTTTTATTATCCTTTTGTTCTTAAAATTGGAATAGGATGTCGTTTATCATTTAAGTTCAAATATATTCTACGACAACCTAAATAATAATATTCCAGGTGACACTACCTAAAAAATGGTGAAGTAGTATCTAATTATTATATTATTTGAGACTTCCTTTAAATAGTATAATTTAATAGATTTCACTTAATCAAAGTAGGCAATTATGAATTTATTGAGTACTTTAAGGTTCTAAGATAAAACCATATAAGGTACCGGTATATATATATTTTCAATATTATGATTGCAATGCAATGGCATTTTTTCAATGATGACATAGTGATATTCTCTCAGAAAAAGAGCTAACGGTTAATATAAATAAGAGATGTGTCATTAAAATGACTGTGTTTGGTTAATTGAAAATTAAGATAATCAAAAATAATACTCAAAACACCTTGAATGAATAATTACAATTAATACAGGTAGGTCGATAATTTTTAGTATAAAATAAATATTATATCTTCTATATAGTCTTTACTTCTAATCTGCAAAAACAATTATGGAAATAAAAACCAATTAATCATAGCATGCGTTTAAGAAATTGATATAATAACATCTCGACCTAACAATACATTTAAAAATACCCTATTATCAAATCAAATTCAACAAATTGTATATCCGTTCTATGTTTTCGTTTATATTAAATATAATTTAAAGGTATGACTAAGAGAATAAGATACCAGCATATTTATTTTCCTTGCATTGCTTTCATTCTAGCTTCGGCTGCTCGTGCTCTTTGTTCTCTCATTAGTCTTTTTCTTTGGTCTTCACTTAAAGAATTTAAGTTTTGAGCATTACTAATAGATGAAGCATCCAAGATTTTTCCCTCACCTCTTTTCATATCCTTTTTAGCCTGCTGTATTTCCTTATCCATCTGTTGTCTTTCTTTTACAACTTCTAATTCTTTCCTGATTGCTTGTTCTACTTCTGCTTTCTCACGCTCTTCTTCTTCCAAATTTATTTTTTCTACTTCTTCTCTGCTTAATGGCATTCCAATATTAGTTTCATCCCAGTTAATATACGTTTCACCTAGTGTATGTCTTGCAATTTGGAATGCATGCTTTACACTATCATTCTTTGCCAAGTCCCAAGCAGTTTTACCAAACTTATTTTTTATTGTAGGATCTGCCTTCAAATTTGTAAGTAATATACCAATCATTTGTTTTTGTCCTTGTTGAGAAGCAAAATGCAGCATTGTCGGCGTATTAGAATATTTAGTCTCTGGCATTATTGGGTAATTGACATTAATATCATTTTTCCTCAAATATGATATTAGCAAGGGAGCTCTACCCTTTTTCACCAAATTTACAAGCTCTTCGGAGTGTTTTTCTTCAAGGGTAAGAGATGTAGCTGAATTACTCTTATTGCTCTTCTTAATCTGGGTTTCCTTTGTATTACCGATGGTCTTTTTCTTCACAACAATTGGTACTGGTTTTGGTTCGACTTTTATATAAGTTAATTCACACCATGACTTTTTCAGTTCTCCAATAGTTGGTCTCCCTGTTGTGAAGGGGAATGATCGTAATCTCTCATCATTTTTCTTTATATATGAACTATCTGTGAATATTTTTTTATCATGTACACTAGTAGCTCTTAAGAAGATATTGTCACACTTCGCCAAGTATGGTTCCCATTCCTTCAATAAGTTTTGTACATCAATTTTAAGTGCAGCCTCATTGTATCTACGGATGGAAGAACCAGCAGAATTTGCTTTACCCTTAGCATTATCACTAGCCGATTGAGAACCACCTTGTTTTCTTCTTGTAGTATATCTATGAAATGTTTTGTGTTCAAGCATCAGAACTGCTTGCTCTTTCAAATTTACATCTTGTTTTTTGGCATTACCTTTAGTGCTCAATCTTTGATGTGATACAATCGCACCTGCAAAGTGACCGCCACCAATCATGAACATAGCTGATATAGAGCTGGCTTCTGTATCTGGGTTTGACCATTTTTTTAAAGCCATAGTTGGGTTATCAATTGAGTCTTGATCAAAAAGAGATTTATATATTCCAACCACTTCATTCTCAGATATGAGTTTAGATTTGAAATAAATTTTTGGGGACCTCGTATTCAAATGAGTAATCGATGTATCCTTATCATCGTCAGTATCATCGGACATGGATGATACATCTAATTTTGTCTCAAATATACTTTCAAGTTTATCCTCAGTTGATGAAGTTTCATCTTCATTAGTTCCATCAGATGAATCTTCTGTTTCAGAAGTATTTTCTTTCTCTTCTTCACTAGTTTCTGTTTTACTTTCTAGAGAATTTTTCAAAAACTGCTCATATTCAATTTTAGAAACCACTGATAAACCTCTTAATGATCTTTTCAAGTTAAAAGTATGATAATCAGCTCTATAATGTTCTCTTTTCGATAACTGATCCGGGAATTCCAATTTACAGGTATTACAGAATAAAGAATTAGAAATCCCCTTTGACCTAATAGCTTCTACATTCTTTACAGGTGTGTTATCAACTTCTTCCTCCTTTTTAGATACCTCTACTTCATTTAAGTTGGCATCAAAATGCATTAGCTTCAATGAATCTAAAACATCTTGGGTCAAATCATAGACATAGAGATCATTCTTTTTAAAATTCAAAGCACTCATCAGATATTATAGCAAATAAATTTTTATAATCAGCGTGGAATAATTCTCTCTAAATATCAGAGAACTCCCAACAATTCAAATCCAACAACTGTGAATTGACTTTATAATAACTTTGAATAAAAAGACCGCCATCATCATCATTATTATTTGCTTTTTATCATATACATTTTTTCAATTTTTGATATTCGAAATCGAATTCGAAACCGAACCAGAGCCCAAATTGGATATTATGGATTAAGATAGAGAGAAATCCTGCAGAAAAAGTAGGATATATATATATATATATATAATCATGGATCATGTAATCAGATCTCAAGTAACCATGCCATTGACACGATAATTTATTATTGTGTATTCACATGGATCTAGTGTGTGATGGGGGATAAGTAAGAATACAAAAAATTTTATAATATCAGTGCTAAATTGGATTCAGTTTCAAGTATTGAGAGTACTCAATACTTGACTGGTCAAATTAATTTTTACGACATCAACTTTATACTATAAAATCAGAATGGAATTATAAAATGAAAAACTATTAATTCACAAAAAGGTAATGACATATGACACTAACAATTTTGTTATCTAAATTTACTTTAATGATATTGTACTTACCTATAAATTACTTAATATAGAGGTCACGTGATTAGAGTATTTATATGATTGGAAACCTCATCTCGAAACAATTTTATAGAAATGAGTCTTTTGCTACATATAATAAGATTGATGGCAATCTATTAAAAAGGTCATAAAAAAGGTTAATTGGCTTCTTTGTAGTACTTTGAGGTGATTGTGTTGGTGCAATTGTCTGGTATTAGCTGAAAGCTGGAGAATTGGTAATAGAAATGGGGTTTAATTCAATTTTCAAATTTCGAAAGACATCCTTAAGCTTACTCTTATTTGCAGTCTACTTCATAATTGGTATCCTATATTTTATAGACAAAACAAGATACAAACATAGTCTGCCAATTGATTCAGAGGGGGTAGCTTTACTGGATAATGCATGGTTAGATTTACAAAATATTACAAACAAATGTCATCCTTACAGCTCGAAGGAAAATGACAGGGTGCATGACTACCTTCTTAATAGAATTGCTGACATTATTAACAAAACTTCTTATGCAGAAGTTTCTGACGATTATTCTACTAATTCAAGGGCATTGTTTAAACAGCAAGACGTTTTCAATGCTTCCTCAATTGCATCCAGAATAATTTATTTTGAATCTTCAAATATTCTAGTTAAAATGGAGGGTAGAAACCCTGTTTTAAAATCTTTATTGCTATCTGCACACTATGATTCTACACCGAGCTCTCATGGTGTAACAGATGATGGTAAAGGCATTGTCTCACTTCTGGCATTATTGGAACATTTCTCCAAAGTACAACCTGAAAGAACTTTAGTCTTCAACTTTAATAATAATGAAGAATTCGGGTTATTAGGTGCTACTATTTTTTTTGAACATGAATGGTCCAAGAATGTTGAATATTTTATAAATTTGGAAGGAACTGGTATTGGCGGCAAGGCTGTCTTATTTAGGACGACGGATACCTCCACAGCAAAGATATATCAAAATTCCGTGAAAAATTCACCATTTGGGAACTCTATATATCAACAAGGATTTTACAATAGATACATAGGAAGTGAAACAGATTACAAGGTTTACGAGAACAAAGGATTAAGAGGTTGGGATATTGCATTTTATAAACCGAGGAATTTATATCATACGATAGAAGATTCTATTGGACATTCCTCTAAGCCTGCGTTGTGGCATATGTTGCACACATCGTTACAATTATCTAAATATATTGCTGAACTTGATAATATATCGTTAGGTGAAACACAGGATCTTTCACCTGCAGTATATTTCGATTTAGCGGGATATACTTTTGTTGCTATACCCAGTACAAAACTTTTCTGGATTAATATAGCATTGCTAATTATTATGCCAATAATTAGTATATTCTTATTTTCAATTGTAAAAAAATACAATAATGAGATTATAGACTCTGGTAATATATGGTGGAGGTTACCAATTTCCGCAATGTCATCAGGTACAATCATAATATTTACTACTAAATTGATAATGAAGTGGAATCCATACATATTATCTCGTAATTTTCTGTTGCCTTTGATTGGATTAACATTTGAATTTATCATATTAAATAGTTATATTTTGACGATGTTTGAAAACTTATCAAGTAGCTTTGACTTTAAAACGATTGCAATAAATGAAATCTCATTTTTATTCTGGATAGTCTTAGCTTACCAAACTTGGAAACTTTATGATAATAATTATCAAAATACTGGCATTTACCCATTTACCATTTGTTATATAGTAATGGCAACGGCTGGGAATATTGGATATTTGTTTTTGATATTTAAAAATATTGAAATTGTTGAAGACGAAGAGGCCAGTTTAGTACAGTACGTTAGTAATGAACAAAGCACAATCGAAGGGAGATATCGTGATGAAATCAATGGCAGGGATGATTCATCGAGAGATAGTAATTCTGCAAGTATACCTACAAGAGCGAATGATGAAAGAGCTCCATTATTAACCAACAGCGTTGACAATATAAACCAAAGAACGATTTTAAAAGAGAGTAAACTTGTGTATAACTATGATTGGATCATTGAATTTTTATTAGTAGTTCCATTTAGTACATTTTTGCTTTACAATAGTTTGGAGTTAATTATGGATGCTGTTAATCAAACAATTCAAGAAACTGGAGATCTATACAAAGTTTATAAAATACTTGCTATTGGAAGCATATTGATCAGCATTCCTACATTGCCATTTGCGTATAAGATTGGATGTCAATTAGGAAAAACATTGACGTTTATAAGTATCGGATGCTTATTAATCAGTATGGCATTAGCGCCATTTACTGAAATGAACCCTATTAAATTCCGATTCATGCAAGTTAACGATAAAGTTGAAATCAGCGGCGTCACAACACATGACAACAATAAATTGAGAGATATGATAAATAACCTTCCAAGTGTTAAAAGAGATGATAAGAAAGTTCAATGTCAAGAGATCACAAAGTTTAGCAGTGTATGTGAATACGAAGGATCACCTGTCCATCTTGTTGACAATATGTATCGAGATAAGTTGAAATTGATGGAAGTGATAGTATTGAAAGACGATAGGTTATCCCCCGAAAGGTCACCATACGCACCGATTACCGCTGAGGTTGAGATTCGAGTTCAAGAGAATAGGATGTGTAATGTGTATTTTGGGCAAAATAAGGAACGGATACGTGAAGTTAACGTTTCTATTATAGAGGGTAATGATAGAAATAGCAGTGTTTCGTTGAGATACAGAGTTAACAACAATAGGAATGGGATCGATGAGTTGCAATTGCACAAGCTGAGATTTGAAGCCAATAGTTATATAGTTGGCATTAAATGGATGCCCGAGATATTAATGTCAAATGAAGAGGAAGATGACGTTTTACCAATAAAAGTAGAATGCTATTGGGGAGAGTATGAAGAGAGCAGTGTTGAAGTAGGTGAAGGTGAGGTTGGAGGAGGCGCAGTTATAGAATATTATGACAAGATTCCATCGTACTCCGAGATATTAGAGTATAAACCGGTAGATGTGGTTATCGCCAATAGAGAAAAAGGTTTAGTCAAGCTAACTGAAGCGATGGTGCTGTAATGGCTTTATTTTTTATTTTTTATTTTAGTTTTAGTTTTATTTTTATTTTTATTTATTGTGTAGTCTTAATAACAGAATGAGAAATAGATAATATGACAAGATTGATGTTTATTGTTGGGGGTGGCCAAAGAAGACAGACAAGCAGATAAGAAATTGACGATAGTGGCAATGATGATGACGATGACGATGATAGGACGATTTGACAGAAAGTGTACTTTATGGACCTATTATATATGGAAAAATTTCACAGGAAACAGAAAAAGAGAAAATAACTTATGTTGAAGAGAGGGGCAGAACTGAGATGTCCAACAAAAGATGATAATTTATCCATAAGATGAGACAATGAAGACCAAATTAACGGAGGAATTTGAGATGGGCAAAACAGAACAAATAAATCGGCATTAAAAAGAGAGAGATAATGAGGAACAACTTGGCAGAGAAAGCGGGAAATGTCAAATTTGCGTTAACGGAGAGAGTAGTATGGCTAATACATATACATATACGTATTTATGTATATCAGCATGTCTTTGTACATAGCGAGCACATGTCTGTACTCATGCGTATTATAGGAAAGTGGAGGAGTTGGGGCGAGGAAAGAGGGGACGTACGAGAGAGAGAGAGAGAGTGGGAAAAAGCCAAGAGAGAGGCAGAAACGGTTATGGAAATATGGAGGGGAGGGGGGTTGCGCACGGGGTAAAGAGAGGAAGATATCTGAGTAGTGGATACACGATACACGATACAAGAAGCTGTTGCCAGGTGCAATCAAAAGAAAACGAGAAATAGTCAAAAATTGAACATGGAAGGAAATTACGAAGATGTCATTCTTTCTAACAAATTAGATTTTAAGTTAATTTTTAATTAAAGTAAAGTAAAGGAAAGAAAAAAAAAAAGAGATGGGAAAGTGTAAAAAGTGTAAAAAGTGAAAAACATGTTGAATGGAACTTCGAAAACTTCAGAAAGGGTAGTATTGACGAATTAGGAAACATTCGTGTATACATTGGAGAGATGAAAGAGGCAAATGAAGAAAGGGGAGAAGACAGAAAATGAATGAGTGTGCCATAAATGAACGACCGAAAGAACGAAAAGAACGGAATAACTAAAGAACGAATGAAGGAAGGAACATGAAGTCTATGTTTGAAAATAGAATTAATAATTTTTCTTGTGTAGGAGGGGTTACTATTTCCAATCGAAGCCTAACATAGCTAGGATGATCCCCACTAGAGTTAAATAAAGAGACAAGAGGATTTAAAGGTTACTAGTTAATTGGGACACCACATGGAATAATTCTTGTTTAATTTGCTACTTTAATTTGGAATTTGGAATAGCATACGTATATGACCTTTGATGCTTGGTTTGATGCATCTGTTTGGGGAAAGAGAAAGAGATTAATAAATTGAATAATTTCTTTTCGTTCTTTCTTTAATGTGCAGCAGACGTAGGTGTCATTAATCATATACCTAGATTTTGCAGCATATTGTTCGGTGCAGGTTATTCTTGAAAATGGTAAAACGCAACAACGAACTACGAACTACGAACAAACAAGAAACAAACCATTACTTGTTAAGTGCTCATTATGATTGCATTATTCCGGGATGCTTCCGATACAATATATGAGGGCAATAACAAAATAGTCACCCACTTTGAACCGTACAATGCTAAACAAACTTATTATTATCTGAGACAATCCGGAATTAGTCTGCTTTCAACAAATAGAAATTCTTCCTTCCGAGTAGGAGTCGTACAAGCAGTTATCAAATTAAAGATTTACAAAAAGACTACATTGAAACTTTTTTTTTGTTCTGTACTTTAAATTAATTTAGCAATTTAGCTACAGTCAAGTCAATATAATAAATTAGATAGAGAAATGGAAATGGAAATGGTTAGATTTTAAATTTGCGATTCCCCCCGAATTTCCGATAGTAATCAAGAAGTGAAGTTTTATTGTATATTGTATATTATATATATATTTTTTTAATTCTTTGCACTATGTAATTTGTTCTTGTTCTTATTCTTCTGCGCATAACAATGTTTTCTAAAATTGTAAATTTCCCAATTGTCTGAATATGAAACCCAATATGGAATGGAACGATCCCATATTACAACACGTATAAGAGAATATAAAGCAGCACAAGATAATATAACATAATATAATATAATAAAAGAGAATTGAACGAGGAAACCAGGCAGAGACAATACACAAGGCATAATACAGTACATACGTAATCCATGTAAAACGGAAACTGTGGTCTACAGAGCTTTCTCAGATAAATCTAAGGGGTCTATTTGCATGCTGCTACCACTTCCACTTCCAGTCTTGCTGCTTCCCTCGCTCTCTCTCTTTTTTTTTCTAATTGTACCCTCTTTGTTTCCTTTTTCTCTCAATGGGCATGGCATACCTCACATAACCAAACCTCAACTTATACTCCAAGCATAACCTCAACAGGGGCAACCAACGTCGCCCTCTTAAACCTGCGAAATAGTAAACGTAGGAAAGACAAAAAAAATCATATAGATAAGTAGATACATATTAAAACAGATAACCAGATAGAGAAAGTACACCGTGCCAGAACCCTATGCTTCTAATCATTATCTGAAAATTCATTCCCTACTCCGCCCAAATTCCACCAATTCTCAATTCTCAGTCCCAATTCCCAATCTCAATCCCAGTAAAGATACGCCATTTCTAGCTCTCTCTCTCTCTAATTCTTATCCAAAGTCAAATTCCGACACTTTGAAAGTTGAGAGGGAAATACGAGAACTGGCTGTAATAGCAATGGCAATACCAATTGTGATAGTAATGCTACACAGAACGATACGATACGATACGATACAATACAATACAATACAATATAGGCAAACAGACAAAAAGACAAAGGAAGACACACACAAACACACACACACATAAAGAGAAAGAGGGAAAGCAAGAGAGAGAGATAGTCTCTCTCTCTATCTCACTACCCTTTTTGGGAGGACTCGTTGTAGCAAACTACTCTTCTCTTCCATAGAAAATAATCAGCAATTACAATTTCCCACACTGACGTTTACAATTGACATCTCAACTTCACTTTCCCGAAATATTCACCTAAAGGTTAATATTAAAAACAAGCTATCTATTCTAATCTAAATAGTTCTGGATAATACCGGAATTGCTTTTAAGACGCATTTTGAAAATTGGATTTGGAAACTTATTACATCCCTTTAGTCATACCTAACCATATTTTTATAACATATATAAACTATTATTCATCGCTTTGCCTCATCTCGTCTTGTCTAGTCTTGTCTTGTTTGGTCCTGTCTTGTCCTGTCTTGTCTTGTTTGGTCCTGTCTTGTCCTGTCTTGTATCATTCTTATACATATACAAATATATACATAAATACAAACACACACACACATACATATATATATATATTAGATACATCTGTCTTAATTTCACAGATCTTTTGTATTACCACAACAACTCCAGATTAAGCTGTCATAAATTGTTTTTATTTAAACTGTTTTCTTTTTACTTCGTTCTTTTCTCCGCCCAGACCCTACCTATGACTGACAATAACCTTATTATAATGAATGAACCCACAAACGTCAACTTCAATGCTAATTCCAATGACAATTTCAATGCCGTCGCCAATTGCAATGATGCCAGCAATGCCAATGCCAATGCAATTTTAATTACCAATACCGAAAATATTAATTTCCATAATAAAAAATTCAATAATACAATTTTGGATAACGCTACTATTTCCAATATGTTCTTAAATGATCATTATTACTATTCAAATGACTGCTTAATTGATAGCGTAGAGACTAATTTAGATGATCTACTCTCATTTTTAAGCGAACATGAAAACACAACATGTTTGAATATGGTTAAAGATACAAAATTTAAAAATAATTTAATCCTACAATCAAATTTATATTCTTCCCCATCTTCATCTTCCTCTTCATCGTCTTCTTCCTCGTCTCCTTCAACTACTTCCTTCATCCATGATAATATTTTATCAAACAACAATTTGAATTACTATAAAAATAACAATAATATTAGCAATAATAGCAATAGTTATTCTTATATAAATATTAAGTTTCAAGATATCTCAAATGATAACGCTATCAATAGTGGCAGTAGTAGTGGAAACCCAATGTTTGACATTTTCACAAATAATGATAATGAAATAAATACTTCTCCGGAAACTACATTGTCACCATCAGTAGATTTCATTATACCTCAAGGAAGTATCAATACCAATACCAACAACACTACCAACACTATTTGTAATGAAAATCTAAATACTATTACAAACTCATTTATCAATATACCAACAACGAATGTAGTACTACCTGAAAATATAAATTTAAATATCAATCAAAATATCACATTGGCAGACAAGAAAAATGTTACTAATGTCAGTAATACTACTAGTACTAGCACAGGAGGAAACATTGAAAAAATTAAATACCATTGTAGTATATGTGGTAAAAAATTTAAAAGACCATCCTCACTAAGTACACATATGAATATCCATACAGGTAACAAACCATTTACATGTCCATTTACAAATTGTACCAAATCATTTAATGCTAAGTCAAATATGTTAAGACATTATAAGTTACATTTCAAGTTAAGTTCAGGTAATTATATATTACCTAACGGTAAGATTACCTCTACGAAACCTACCACAAAGCAATTGTTTGAGAGGACATGAACATGAACATAACGAGATGTGTTTCTCTGAAACGACTAATTATTATTAATGAATTAATATTAAATAAAGTAATTTTTAAAAAAAATTTAAGTAGCAAACGATATATAGATAGATATATACAATGATCGATCACACAGATAATAAATTAATAGATACTATACGAAGACAAAACAGGACCCAAGACAATTATATATATTTTCCAAGGCGGGGCAAAAATGTGGAGAAGACATCATTGGTTGTTCTATTGTATCAATTTGACTGGGATTCCATTTTGCTAAATTCAGAAATGTAATGAATCACACTTTCTTCGAATTTCACCATTGCTTAGCCAAGAAAATACGATATAACCCAATATAAGACACAAGCAAGAATCAAGAGTAAGTGAACTTAAAAGCATAGAATTTATGGTTGTTTATGAATACAGGCACCCACACTCCTTCCAAAAACAAACAGAACAAATAACAATCTTCCTTTAATATTGAACTTACTCTAATTCTTTGTCCACAATTCTCATTTTCAATTCTTTTTGTATGTATAATTTTGATAAGTAGTGATAAAATTACGTGTAAGGAATTGAATCCATAGATATTGTTTAAGTATTACTTCTTTTAGAACGGTAGACAAACCAAGCCCAAATAAACTATTTCTCCAGTTTAGACAAAACAGAAACAACTACGAAACTAAAATTCCTTACTTTCCTTTCCATTCCGTTCGTTAGTCTTATCCTTGTCCTCTTGTTTTGTAAAATGGAATACAAAATAAATATTGAAAAGATGGATCTGATCCACCACAGACAAGAACAAGAACAAGAACAAGAACAACAAATAATACTTCCAAAATGGTGATCCTACGAGAACCCAAAGTCATTGAAGCGAAGACAATCATGTTCCGTTAGCGAATATTCATACAAAATCACCAAACCAAATCTGACCAAACTATAACTCTCTTGAATAAGTTAGAACTGTCTCATCTTAAATCAACCAAGATAGGGAGAGCAAAGCGTTCAGCTGAGCCATATGATACATAAGGTGTTTGTTACTGGGACTTCCTTTTGTTTGTTTGTTTGTTTGTTGTTTACTGAGAAATTTGTGCTCCCATCCAATAAAAGACTGAGACGAATAAATCACTTACACTTGCTTACCTGATTGCCATCCCTATCGTTGGCACACTGCTTCCTGTCCTGTGAGACAGTCGGATGGGATGGGATGGGATGGGATGGGATTGAGATTGAGATTGGAACTGGACGCGTAAGAAACTTTGGAAACAAACAAAAATAAATTGTTCGCCACAGAATTCACGTGTTTCTCTTGGTTTTCTTGTGTGTTTGTCTTTATGTCTTTGTTTTTATGTTTCCGTAAAGAGTACAAACAACAACAAAGAGAGGTCCAGGGAGATGTGTGACGGGGCGAGGGAAAACAGAGAGAGAGAGGGTGTACTGCTGTTTACATGTCAGAGAGAAGAAAGAACCGTACAGTACAGTACTGCTTTTTGAATTTTGAATTTTGAAATTGTTTTATTATTACCTAAAACGAACCAAACCCAAACAAACCCAAACAAACCCAAACAAAAGCTGTTTGATCTGATCTGATCTGACCTGATGTGGTTAAATTTGATTTGATTCGATCTGATCTTGTCTGGTCATCCCGAACAGAACAGAACGTCCTCCCCCCCCTACACAACTAGACTTCATTAGCTGATGTACTGTTGTTACTGATTTCCACGGATTGATTATAACCGCGCTAGCAGGATGGTTTCCTGTTCAGCTCTCGTCAGCTCTTGGATTTGTCGTATTTTTTTTCTCTCTCTGTGCATGTCGACCTCCTGGACTGACGTCTCCAGTGGTGATGGCAAACAAACAAACAAACAAACAAACAAACATATAGACAAACGGGACTGCATAACATGTACATATCCTCGTCCCACTGAAACATATAACTCTGCATAGGGATATCGAAATGAATATACTGTCCCATCATAAATCTCCTGCTACCTCTATTGCTCTACAGACAAAACATATATATCAAGACATTTCATTTGGAAACTTGGAAAATGATTATATACTAAACTATATCTCTCTTTATCCACATACTACCTTCTCGATTTCCAATTCGCGTCAACACAAACAAACAAATAAAACATAAACATAAACATAAACAGTTTTCACTCTGTCATAAATTAACCAATCCATAATATCAATCTCTATCGATCATAATGTTTCTATCATTCCATTCCTTGTAATTCATCTTTCCCTCTTTCTCCGCCTGGTGGTCAAGTATCTCTTTTCAGACCGAACTGGAAATTTTAAAAAAAAAAAAAATAATAAAATAATTGAAAAACTTTTTATTTTAGTTTCGAAAAAGCGCAATCTTTGTACGTAACAACAGACACCTCTCTTTCTCTCTCTCACTCACCTTAACATACTATTATGCCATCTTAGTAATTATCTCTCTATCTACATATCTTTCTTCTTGTCTTGTTCTCGTCTCGAAATGATTTCAAATCCTGTTGTCAATTTTGGCAGTGTCGCCATCCAGTGGTTCCACTGCTTGTCCACTTGTGGTGCCCAAACTGAATTATGTTTTTCTTTTTATTTTCTTTTTTTTTTTCTTTCGAAATTTTTCGAAATTTTTCACTTTCATGCTCGTTGCTATAAAAGGAGCATATGATTTATCTTACCATATATATACTACACATTCATATCTATATAAATATATTCACTTTTATTCAAAAAAACTAACTTTCGTTTTTAGATCTTTTAATCTACTGTTTCATTCCTATCGCAATCTTGATATTTGGCACTTTTTTATCACTCTTTGATTTAGTCTGATTTAACTCGATTTCGTTTTAAAAACAAAATACCAACTGTATCTAACCATATCATAGTTCACATTCGCTTTTAAAAAATATTTTTTTTTCTCTCTCATTATTTTATAGTATTTCAAAAGGAAAAAATTATTTATTAGAATACTATAATATAATATAATATACATATATATCCATTAAAGAAAAGATGCAATTCAAATCATTCATTGCTGGTTCTCTATTGGCCACTTCAGCTTTAGCTGGTATGTATAAACTTTCTTCATTTTTCAATATTATCAATCTAATCTAATCTAATCTAATCTAATCTATTCTGATCTAATCTGATCTAATCTGATATAATCTGGTCATATTCGAATCTAAAGATAAAGCTTATTTTACCAAATTTCTCCTCTCCTGTTTCATTTTGGAAAATATTAATTTTTCAAATCAAAAAGAAGAAAAAACGCTCTCTCCGAGCGTTTTTTAATACAATTATTATGATCATAGAAAATATGTCAGTATCATAATAAGATTAGGTTCTAGATTTTATATTCTTTTCCTGATTTTTTCGATTCTCTTTTACTAACAGTTTTGATTTCACTATTTCCTATCCTTTTCCCATAGCAACTGCAAACACAACTGCTCCAAACGTCCCAAGTGCTTGTAACGTTGGTTCTTCAGCTACTTTCACTGCCCAAACCGATTTCGATAAAATTTCCACCTGTGAAAATGTTGTCGGTAACATTAGTGTCACCGGTGATTTAGGTAGTGCTGCTTTGTCAAATGTTAAGAACTTATACGGTTCTCTAACCATTTTCAATGCCACTTCTTTATCTCTATTCTCCGCTGATTCTTTAGAAATGATCACCGGTACTTTATCCCTAAGACAATTGACCATCTTAACCTCTGCATCTTTCGGTTCTTTAGCTTATGTCGATTCTATTAATTTAGTCACTTTACCAGCTATTGACAACTTTGCCTCCGCTTTGAAAAATGCTAACATTATTTACATTTCTGATACCACTTTAGCTAATATTGATGGTTTCTCTACTTTGGATTCCGTTCAATCTTTTAACGTTAACAACAACAGACAATTGACTTCTGTTGCCTCTTCTTTAAGAACCGTTTCAGAAGCTTTAGAATTCTCTTCTAACGGTAACAATGCTACTGTTGTCTTTGACAACTTGGTTTGGGCTAACAACATCACTTTAAGAGATGTTTCTTCTGCCTCTTTTGCTACTTTGAAGACTGTTAACGCTTCCTTGGGTTTTATTAACAACTCTTTGCCAATTGTTAACTTGACTCAATTAGGTAACGTTGGTGCTTCTTTGAGTTTTGTCTCCAATGATCAATTGTCTACCGTTAACTGTAAGAACTTAACTACTATTGGTGGTGGTTTCGTTATTGCCAACAACACCGAATTGCAAACTATTGACGGTTTCAAGAAATTGTCTACTGTCGGTGGTGCTATTGATATTGAAGGTAACTTCTCTTCATTAGATTTGGGATCTTTGAGAAACGTCAGAGGTGGTGCTACTTTCGACACTTCCGCTTCTAACTTCTCTTGTTCCAGTTTGAACCAATTACAAAGTAACGGTAACATCCAAGGTGATTTCTCTTGTAAAGCCGCTACCACTACTTCTTCTTCTTCCAGTATGAGCTCTACCTCCAGCTCTGGTTCATCTCGTTCTTCATCTACCCGTTCATCTTCTTCCACTGCCTCAGTCAATGAAGATGCTGCTAGCTCTAGCTCCACCACCAGCTCCACCAAGTCCTCTAAATCTAAGGGTGATGCTGGTCACTTTGCTCCATCTTCCTCCTTCATGGGTGTTGTTGGTGCCATTGCTTTAGCCTTATTCTAATGAACTGTATGTAATACGAGAAAAAAAATTTACAAACAATAATAAGTTTTTACTAATAACATAAGAAAAAAATGATAAAAAATAATGTAACACCATATTTTTATTTAGAGAATTTTTTTAATAATTGAAATATGCTAATACATAAAAACATTTCTAATTCGGTTTACCAAATGTTTTGTTAATTTATAATATTAAGTTCCAGTTAATTTTACCGTTTTTGATACCCATTTTAAATTTCCACATTCCTTAAGATAGATGATAATAGTATCCGGTACTGAGGTCCAACAGCTTTATATAAAATATTACTCTTATATGTAATTAGTGTAATGTTATATAAATGAAATACCTTGTGTATCGTATATGTACTTCAAGGAATTATGATACCCTTGTATAATTACTGTGATGAGAGAAATTTATGTAGTTGGATTTAGAGATCTTTCCTTGAAAATCAGTTTTAAACAGCACTGATATTTACAAAAGCACATACTATACATTTTCTAATCGTTATATTTACTTTTTCTGGTTCACTAATCTATTAGATAAAATTTACAGATTTAATATTAAAGTATATTTAGTGTTTTTAAATTTTAAGCGCTAGAATTTGCCATTAATTCAATAATCTCATTAACTGGATCTTCATCATGTCTTGCAGTTTCAATGTTAGTTAAAGCTTTCTTGATACCACAGTTAAATTGCGGACATACAGAAGATAATTGATTGACAACAGCAACTCTTCCGTTGTCATCTAAGAAACCAGAGTCAACCATTACCTTGTTAAATTCATCATATGAAGTCATGTTAGGTATAGCAATTTCATTGTCAAAACAACCCATAATGTCCATTTGTTGCAGAACAGAATACGTGGATGTTGTAGTCATGATTAATAGTCTACGGTCTTGTGGAGGTTTACGTTTCAAAGCAACTTTTAATACCTGTAAAATGTTGTTAGAGAATCTTGGACCGATTGGAACCCAATCAACTAAAGTTTCAATAGAATCAATAACCAAGATATTCAAAGGTGATTTATAAGCATCCCTGAAAGTATTGTCAATATACGCAATCTTTGCACTTTCTGACATACCTGATAATTCATTTGGAGATATCAATCTAATAAATGGAAATTGAGATTGTAGGGCAATAGCAGCGGCTAAAGCAGTTTTACCAGAACCAGCCGGACCATGAATTAATAGTGAAACCAGACGTGATTTATCACTCTCACTGACTTGACGTACATATCTTTCACCATGTTTCAAGATAGCATCAACTTTCTCTGAATATCTTATAATACCACCTTCAACACATGTCTTTAAATCTTCTTCACTAATACCGAATGCTGGTGTCACTTCATTCAAGGAATTCAAGAAATCTTCTCTAGTGACCTTCAATTTAGCGATATCTTTTTGATTTAGCTTAGTTGAACCTTGACCAATATTAACAGTCTTGTTAATGGCAAAAGAACTTGCACTCTTAACCAAACCTTCAATTTCAGCACCTGAAAAATTCTTGGTTAATGCAGCTAATTCCTGTAAATTTACATCTTTATCCATCATATTGTTTTCTCTCATCTTTTTAGTTTGAATTTCAAAAATTTGAACTCTACCCTTCTCATCAGGTAAATGAATTTCTACTTGAACTTCAAATCTACCAGGACGTAATAAGGCACTATCGATCAAATCTTTACGATTAGTCATACCAATAACTAGAATATTATTCAATTGATCAACACCATCCATTTTAGCTAACAATTGGTTAACTACATTATCACCAACACCTGTACCATCACCTCTTGAACCTCTTTGTTTAAATACAGAATCCAATTCATCAAAGATAATAATATGCAATGATGATTCTTCACCTTTTGCTCTATATTCAGCTTCAGCATCTTTGAATAGATTACGAATATTTTCTTCAGAAGAACCAACATACTTACTTAAAATTTCTGGACCATTAACAATTTTTGGTTCTTTAGCATTCAACATAGTACCAATTTTTCTGGCAATCAAGGTTTTACCTGTACCTGGTGGACCATATAACAATAAACCCTTGACGTGGGAGATACCTAATTTTTCAATAACAGCAGGAGGGAAAATTCTACTAGCGAATGCTCTTCTAAAAATCTTGGTAAACTCTTTATCTAAACCACCAACACCCAAGTCTTCAAATTTGAAATCTGATCTAATAACAGCATCCGATCTTGGCCTTAAAGAATTATTTGATTTCAAGTTAACTAAGCCATCTCTACCTTTGAAGAAATTCAATTGGGTTTGTTTAGTAAGAATACCCTTTGTTTCGATACCTGTGGAAATTGGTGCTACTGGATCAACATCACCTAGATCAATGGATTGGATATTTCTAATATTAATATCAAAAATGAAACCTTTGAATTCAAATATTAGGTATTGAGTAGGACTAAAAATTTGCGATTCAAATGTCTTCGCAAAATGCAAAGCCAATTCATCTTGATCGAATGGCGTATTAACAGCTTTTCCTCTAGTTCTAAATGAAATTTCCATATCCATAGTACCCAAATAAGAATGTTTCCCAGAATATTTGAATAAATCAAACCCTCTAGCTTGAATTTCTTGGTTCAAAGACCAACCACCCCAAGTACGTTGATTACCATTCAAACCAATAGTACCAGGTTGGATATCAGCAGCATGTCTAGTGGTGAAAACAAATAAGTTATCAATCAAGATATAAATATTATCTTGGAAATCTGAAGGATGAACTGCTATAACATTAGCTAATGCATATGAATTGTTAGGGGAATTAGCAACCATTAACTTTTTAGGTCTCGTATCGACATTAGACATATCTGGAGGATGGTGAGTAGCTGTTGCTTTACCAAATGATGGTAATTTAAATCTATCCATATTCATTACAAATTTGTTAAGGTTGACCACTTTGTTTAAAACAATCTGAACTTGGGTCTTATAATATATATCAATATAGTAATATAATTTTTATTATAATAATATATTATTTATCTTTATCTCCCCTTTTTTCACTGGTAATTTGATTGGCAATATCAACTAAACCACAGAACCCCACAGATCTAACGTATAGCTATTCCTGCAATGAATCAGAATTCTTGAATCTTGATCTATAGATGTATAAATTCACACTTGTTATAAATGAATCTTGGCTTAAACTGTTAATTTCGAAAGGGAATTTTAAATTAAATATACTCCGTCCGTAATGATACGTGTGTTTTTCGGTTTCGGAAACTCGGGAAGTTCCGTACAGTGAGGGTAATTATATGGTTTATAGGTAGTAACTGTATTACCTGATGCCTCTATGATTAGGTTGATACTTACGAATGATAATCTCGGTTTGTTATTGATTAATCTTCAATCAATTGGAAACTCCAATGCAAATGAAATACTTACAATCAGTAACTTTTTATGATCATAGTTATCTCTACTGTCGTTTTACTCCTAGTCAAAACATTTTCACTGAATACTGAACTTTGTTACCCTGATTTCTAAGAGAGATATATATATATATATATATATATATATATCGTGCACGTGACTACGTATAGGAAGTATGTTATCATATTCTAACCCTTATTAAACTAATATAAATATATATGTATATATATAATAGGTATCTGTAATCGAAATGAAGACTCGCCGGATGTACTAAGTCAGTGGAACTTCAATCACTCTTCTCGTTGGCTTTTTGCTCCTTTTCCTTCTTTTGAAGAAAACCAACTATAAAGTTGTAAATTAATAAACCGATCAAAACCTGTCTCCAGTTCTTAATTAACCATGATCTATTATCTTCTTCATCCTCTTCAGCTGTATCGTGTGAACTTTGCTCATTGACACTCTGTCTTTCATCTCTTACTTGTTTATAAGTCTTTGTAGTTTTTTTCAATTTGGATACAGTAGCTTCCTCACCAATAATAGGTTCTCTTATTAAAGGAACAATGCCATCGACATCTGTATTTGGAGCTAATGAAAGTTTGGATATCTTATTGTCATGTATATCTATAATTAAATTATAATGGAAAGGTTTAGTCATACTCATATAACTAAAACAATCTCCATTATCTCCCGAAATACAATAGCGTTTACCACTAACAATATCGTCATTATTTTCAATCACTTTAAGGTCCCTAGTTTCAATATCATAATCAATTACAGCCAACGGTATTCTCCTACTATCACCTACAATTTCTTGAGCATATATCGATAGTTCACTACCAAGAACTACTCTTATCGTCGATAATAAACCAATCCAAATTAAACCTACCATCATCGCTATCTTCTGACAAAGTCCCTAAAGTAATCAATTAAACGAAGATATAACACTTGGATAGCTATCAAACCCACAACTTGGGCTACTTTTAATTTGACAATGTTATGATGACTGTCAGTTTCTCTTATTTATTTAAATTACAAAATAGAATTATCCTTTGTCATAATTTAATTAATATGGCTTTATTATATAAAATGTATCAACTCGCCTAAGATAAAAAGATATCTCTCTCTATCATTTTAAGAACCCTGCTATTAAAGTTAGTTAAAGTTAGTTAAAGTTAAATAAGTTACAAGGATACTAGATCACATCTCTTATCACATTTTGAGAGTGTGGAAGTGAGGGTCATTGTTAAGATTGATTATGTTTCCCATAGGACTAATAATATCTGTATGCTTTGTATGGCATTATACTTGCGGTTTATTTATACCTTTAGAAGATTCATTACTGCTTAATAAATATTCATTCAAGTATGTCTCAAAGAATGAGTGGGACCAGAACATTTTGAATAATAAAACGTTGTTAAGGGAGAATTCAATTGTAGAGTTGGGTTCAGACTTACAATGTTTATTACCGAAATCACTAGAGAACGACGATCAAGTGGTGCAAGAAAAGAGAAATGAAACTGAGTTAAAACTTTTGTTGACTGATAATCTAGAGAAAGGTGTTAAAATTATAACAAAGGAATTGGATGATATTTGTGTGGTTTATCCCAATGGATTTTGGAATTATGAATATTGCCCAGGGAAGGAATTCATTCAATTTCATGGTCAATCTAAAAAAGATAACAAATGGGTATTCACCCTAGGTATCTCAGCTTCTGATATTAAAGATCGAGAATTCCAGTTACTGTACAACGAATATGGATATTATATCAGTGAAATATTAGATGGTGGTGAAATCTGTGAAGTCACTAAGCAACCAAGAGTTACTGAGATTCAATACGTATGTGGCCCTGCAAATGGTGCTGCAAATATGCAGTGGACTAGAGAAATTAAGACATGTCATTACGAAGCATCTGTTAGTGTTCCTGCATTGTGTGAATTAGAATTATTGGCGCTGAGTGATGAAAATAAAATGGCAAAACCACTCATTTGTTTAAAAGATACTAAGGATAGTAATCAAGCAAAGTCAATATCAAAAAAGGATACTAGAAATTTGTTAAATGTTATATCTGAATACAATCCATTGTTTCTGGGTTATGGTTTCTATTTACTAAATCCTAAAATAAGTTCTTATAGCCATGACCAATTTCCTTCCAGATCTGTGTTGATGTACTCAGGTATTTCTAACATTGAACAAAATGTTGACGCAATTTACCGTGAACTTTATCAAAGAGCAGGGAAGGCAATGACTAGAATGATGTATTTAAAGTTCTTGACTTTACCTGATGGAAACCCTTATATGCATGGCGACAGATTTACTTGGATTTCGGATGTAGTAGATCTTAATGGAAAATTTATAACCAGAATGATATTCACGATTGATGAAAAAGATGTGGCTGAAATAAAATTAGATTACACCTTGGAATTCAAGAATTTTGGAAATTTCGTTTCATATCAAAGAGCTGGTCAAGAAATAGTTTTTCAAGATGATATTATCAAACATATAGATGATACTCATATGTCTCATGCTGGATCAGGAAACGAAGGGAATTCAGGATCCATTGAAGATAAAATTAAAGAGGATAACATTGTCGAACAAGACAGTATGGAATCAACTGACTTCGAAAAAACAGGAAATAAGCATTCACAAAATGAAAGAGATAATCAAAATATCAATAACCAAAATAAAGATCATAAACAGGTCCAAAATGATGAACATGACAAGGTTAATGACTCAGGCATTAAAAAAGATGAAACGGAAGATGGAGTGTCTTTAAAAAATGAAGATCAAGGTTCAACCATTAAATTCGATGAAAAACCAAGCATAGAACAGGAATCGCAACCTATTGAAGGAAAAAATGGAATTAGAAATGTCAGTCCCTCTGTAGCTAAATTTGAAAATTCCTCTGCAAATACAGATACTAAAATCATCCCCTCACGATCCTCTACAACTGAAGAAAGGTCAGAGGTGCCGGAAGATAAGAGCAAAGATGCACTTACAGAAACCAAACCAGATCAAATTACTATAAGCCATTCTAAAGAAAATGCTATTCCAACTAGGGATGGTACAAAATCTAGTATGATAAAAGTAGAGTCGATATCAAGTGCCAGTAGCTCAGCAACAACGAACACTGTTGGTAGTTCAATCTTCACCGATATTGAAAATACAAATAGCGAAGACCAAAGTCAGCATAGATCAGCAGATAATCAAAAGAACCATGTACATGATGAATTATAGAATTTTATAATATTACATAGTAGGCCAATCTATAAAGCATAATAATTATTTACAAATCATATTAAACCTTATACACATTAATTATTTCAGTCATCCAATCTTCTTAGGCCTAAGTTCATTGAAGATGATGAAGGAGAAGTTTCTTGTTCGAATAAGTTGTCTAGATTTAAGTTACTATTCTCCCTTCCAGGTGATTCGGAGACATTGTTATCTTTATTTGACTCATGATTTCCTGAAATTTTTGAGGGAATGGTCTCGTTTATTTCATTCTGATTATTAGTATCATTCTCTTCATTGTCATCCTCTTCATCTTCCTCATCAACTTCGTCGTCATCGTCGTCATCGTCATCATCTTCTGCTTCATCTTCACCCAATTCAACGTCATCGTCGTCGTCTTCCTCTTCAACATCATTGCCATCTTCTTCTTCGTCTTCTTCTTCTTCTTCGTCTTCCTCATCGTCAACCTCATTATCATTGTCTTCTGCATCATTTTCTCCGCTAGTGCCTCCATTCACATTATTAGGTTTTCTACCAGATGAATTATCAGTGATACCATTTTCAATAGTATCTTTGTTAATTACCTTTTCGGAAGCCAACGAATCTTCGATGCTTGCTGTAGAAAAATCTTCCATTAAAACATCTTGTTCTTCTTCCATTTCTGGCAATATGAATGCTTCGGATAGCAATTTCTTCTTGATTGTAATATTGATCTTACCTGTTGGCGGTATTCTCGGTTTAGAAACAGGTTTTCCCTTAATAAGAATCTTATCGTCTTCAAGAATAAGATCGGGATCTATGATAGGGATTTGCTCAGAATTTTCATCACCAGTCGCAGCAGATTTCATTAACTTTGTGTTGTAAATATTAGTTTTATCTAACGACTTCTGCAACAGCGGCATTAGTGTCTTCCAATAAGTACTGTTTTCTACTTGATCTTTTGTGAGGATCGTATATTTAATATTCTCATGTTCTTCGGGTTGTATTTTATTAACTTGAACCTTGGCTTCTGCATCAGCAGATTGGAATTGGAACGTTAATAATTGTATTGGGACCGAAGAACTTAATACTCCAAATTCCTTCTCCAGACCAAGCTCCTTAAAACCGAAGTAATCTTCACCAGTAAGATCAGAAGCGAAATCACCAGTCATAAAACTTTGACTTTGATCATCAAAGTTACGTTCGGATAGTTCCTGCAAAGTAGGTCTCAACAAATCTTTTAAGAAATTTTCGAGTTTGTTCTTTAGATCTTGCAACTTTTTAGTTTTTTTACCAAACTCAGATTCTAGATATGTATAAAGTTCATCTGGTCTATCAATTCCATTGTCTAAAAGTGTAAGTGATAAAATATCTTGTTCTGTTTTCAAATTTAGTGAATTGCTTTCCTTGTGTAACTTTAAGGTACGAATCAGATTGGATAAATATTCTCCTGTGATCTCTGATAACATATTAATTGCAGAAGGTTGGGTGGATTCAAAACCACTAGACATCGCCAATTTGGAGACATTTCTACGCAATACTGTATCAATCAATGGTTTATCAAACTTATAGCCGTGTGTTTCTAACATAGATACAGGGTCTAAAGATACATCATCCAGCAAAACGTTATTTTTGGAGATACTTGAGGATATCATTCTATTGCTGTTAAATGTAGATCTGGAACTTTGATTATATGCAGAGCTTTGAAGAATCCTAATTAATGAAATTTTATGACAGGTTTGTCTGATTTGTTGAATCAAAGTTATATTTTTATCAAGTTTAGGTGTTAATCCCATTTTATAAGCAGGAGTAAAGGATTTATTTTCGGTAACACCTTTTGCCAACATTTCATTAACAGCAGCATTTTCAATTTTATCAAGTAATTTTGTACTTACACCAGAAAAGGAGACCATAGGTACTGCATTCACGATATCATACTCTTGTAAAAATGAAACGTTGTCAATCTCCAAATCATCGAATTCTTTTTCAATTATATCATTTCCATTCCCTTTTTGATCTAATCCTAATTGAAGTTCTTCCTCTTCCTGTTTAACGGATGCGCCAAATCCATTTTTCATCATAGATTGTTGTTCGTCATTTTTTCTATTTGTTTCTTGGTTCTTTTGTTCGATAAACTCTATAAATTTTTCATGGAATGACTTCATCTTATGAGGGTTTTTCAAGAAAGCAATTGATTCATTATTCAAATGCCCATCTTTGAAGTACTCTGATCTATTTATACAAACCTCTGCTCTAACTTTGGCGGTTAAAGACTTCCATATAGAGATTTCTATGTCATCTTTATCATCATCACCTTCTGCGAAATAAGACTCCGCACTGCCAGCATCTTCATCAGATTCATCCTCATCATCATATTCTTCTTCATCTTCATCACCTGCTTCTTGGCCGTCTTGCTCCGATAATTTTTTTTCTATCTCATTCTCTTTACCTTCATCTTTTGAAGTTTCTTCTCTACCAGTTTCAGTATTATTGTCATTATCAACAGTAATAGATTTCTCGTCTAATTTATCTTTGGAGTCTTCATGTATTTCTTCCTTCTCTCCCTGTTCCTCCTGTTCTTCCTGTTCTTCCTGTTCTTCCTGCTCTTCCTGCTCTTCCTGCTCTTCCTGCTTTTCCTGCTTTTCTTCCTCTTTCTGCTCTTTCTTAGATGATGAATCATCATCTGTTTCCTTCAATTCTGGTTTTGATTGTGATTCTGCCCCAGTTGTTGTTTTCTCAGATGTTATTTCGGCAGCATCCTTTGATTCATCTAATGAATAATTATTTGATGCAACTGGTTGTCCTTCTGTAGGCTGTTTTTCATCATCTTCTATATCTTTTTCATTTCTGAGATCTTTATCCAAATTGTTCTCATTATCTGGTTTTTCTGTATTACCTTTAGTTTTTATAGATGTATCCTGCAATTCTTCTACCTGACTTGGATCTTGAATTATAGCTGGTTTATGGGCACCCATATTTAAACCCTTTCTACCTGAGCCAGCTACTTCTTCTTCCTCTTCTTCATCATCATCTTCTTTATCTTTTTCCATATTTTCTAGTTCTTTCTCAACATCTGCACGGTTTCTTATCACAATATCAGGTATCAGTGGTATTAATTGAAGTGACTTTTTTTGCATGGCATATGCATGGCTTCTTAGGTAATGAGATGGATCGGAATTAAAAGTTAAACAATTTTTCCAAATTAGCATTATATCATCTACAAACTCTTGCTTTGCATTATATTGGAAACCTTTCAATTTTTTTAAAACTGTATTCAAATCCATCGACTTTTTGATTATTTGATGGTAATTTGGAGCTTCTCTTTTACTCACTTTATTTAAGAAAGGCGTCGAATGCTCTGTGTAATTACGCAATTCCAATACTACTTTTTCACAAGCTTCGTACAATTCTTCTTGTCCGATTCTTTCGTCAGAACTCCATTTGGATCTATTTTTTCGTACATCCATTATCAAATGTTTTAATTCGTAATCTGACATATTTAATTTGACTTTGTTTTCTTGGATAGAGCTCATTAAATACTTTAAAGAGAGGTTTGCTGCTCCTAAAGCTACTGGTAAATTTACCGGATCATGTTTAGGTCTTTTACCATCAGTATGAATTACTACCGAATTATCTCCTTCAGATGAACCTAATTTCTCATTATTACTATTGATATTCTCTTCTTTTATTTCAGTTTCTTCTGTTTCATTGAATTTTCTTTTTTTTCCTTTTGACGTTTCCATTAATTTATCACTTTCTTCTAACCGTAACCTTTTTAGCATTGTATCTTTATCATATTCGTAACTATGATAAATTCTATCCCAATTTCCTATCATCTTCTCTATATTATTATTTTTCATATTGGCAATTATTTCTTTTGATATATGCAAAGTAAGCACCAAGCTTCCATGTTCATTAGTATCTAAGCTAATATCACTAATCGTTTCAGAATTATCTTTGCTCTTGTTTGTTTCTTTATCGTCATTGCTATCGGAATCGTAGTTATCGTCATCTTGATCTTCAACATCGTAATCATCTTCGTCAGCTTTTGACTCCGAATTTTTTGAATCCTCAAACAAGTTATTGTTCGCACCTTCGGTATCAAATGCTGTATCTACATCTTGTGAATCCTTGTATTCATCTAATAATACATAATCTAAAACATCGACTTGATTTGAGTTATCATCAATCTCTTGTTCATTTTCTAAATCTTCGACTTTATTATATAACAAGTCTACAGCACATTGCCATAGAACATATCTTAATTTTAAAGAAAGATTTCCGATGAAAGAGTTTGAATTTATATGCTGAATGAACTCTTCTAAATCTAAAGTCGACAGATCATCCGAATTCGGATCTTTCACTGAATTCAGGCTGATATTTTTTTCCCCTTCATGTGATGCAATATTATTATTATCTGTGGCAACTCCGTTTACTTTATCTGTCAAACTGTTGGTGTCATTTTCATTATCACCATTATTTGAATAAGCTGATTTAGTTGTACTATTAGAAGAAGTATTATTTTCAGGATTAGTTTCTATTATGGCATCTTTCTGTCCAGACTCTACATTTACGACATTTAAAAGAATATTACCATTCATCAATTCATTCCAAATCATTAATTTTTTATCTTCATCTTTAATCGATAGTAATCTTTCTAAAATAATTAATTGATGAGATGACAAATAAGCGTCTAAATATGAATCGTTAGCCAACTTTTCCGTTAACTTTAACAGAGATTTAGGATCAGCCCTCTGATAGTTAACTATAGGAAGCTGATCGTTGATTATCATTCTTTTAATTTTGATTTATTTAACCTTAATGAAGTAAAAATGAACTAAGAATATATCTAATGCAAAAATTCAAAATGATAATTAATGAGAAATACAGATATAACAGAGTCTCTTTAAACAAAGGTTAAACTTTGTTAATACTGCTATCTTTCTCAATTGCCGATATCAATCTTCAATATCTATTCAAGTCTTCATAGTTTAACTACTTAATATAATTAATCAATTTCTTAAATTTAATAACATTTCGAGAGAGGAAAGGCAAAAAAAAATATTGAAAAGATGAAAAAGAATACAATTAAAAATTTGTGCACATGATTAGGGGTATGTAATTTCATTTAAAGGTTGATCTTTAAACTTTCAAGAAATTAAGCTCGCGTGGCGTAATGGCAACGCGTCTGACTTCTAATCAGAAGATTGTGGGTTCGACCCCCACCGTGAGTGCTTTGTTTCTTCATCTTCTCAAAATCCGCGATAGTTTAATGGTCAGAATGGGCGCTTGTCGCGTGCCAGATCGGGGTTCAATTCCCCGTCGCGGAGTAGTTTTTTTTCTTTCCTTTTTAGAAAAATATAAATTACAATATATTACGTAATGTAATTTAAAATAATAAAGTATTATACTTACTTAGTGTTTAGAACAGGGCTTTTGATCAATTGATAGAAATTCAAGTGCTGTTAATTAAATCAACAAAGAAAAATATATTGTTTGTATATGCTGAATATGATAAAGATATATACATTTTATAAAAATAATGCTACCATTCCAGATAAACCTTTTATATTAATTTTGCTTAGAAAATTTTCATATATTTCATTTGAAGAAATAATCAAAAAAAATAATAATAATAATAATTAATTTAAAACGAATTCATTTCCCATTTTTATTCTTTATTCTTTATTCTTTAATTTCTTTTAAAAACTTAATTCTTTTTAATTTTCTTTCTTTCGTTCACAGTTTATACAATAAAAATAGATAATTTGTTAAAATAATTTATTTTTATCTTGACATAATCATTGCGTAAACTATACAGCGTATTTCTTGGTCCACTCCTTTGCTGTAGCTTCATACTTTGCTCTATCAGTTTTGTATAAATGAGCGATTTCAGGAACTAAAGGATCATCTGGATTAGCATCAGTTAATAAAGAACAGATGGATAATAATACTTTTGAGATAGTTAATGCAGGAGACCATTGATCTTTCAAAATATCTAGACAAATATTACCGTTAGCGTTAATATTTGGATGATATATTTTTGTTGTGAATGAGATCTTTGGTGGTTTGAATGGGTAATCAGTTGGGAAATGAATAGATAAGAAGAAAACACCACCAGCGTAAGGGGAGTCAGGTGGGCCCATGATGGAAGCTTGCCAGTGGTAAACGTCGTCACCAACTGGGCCAGCAGAACATGAAGTTGGTGGATCTCTGCATATAAGACGAAATAATAAATATATATATTAAGTTAGTAAACATGAATAAGTTTTCAATATTTTTTTATTTTCCTTTTACTCTTGTTCAAAGTGTTCCCATGTCCATCCATATATATAGATAATATATATAATATATCAATCATGAGAAAGACAAGTAAGCTCGATAGGGAAAATGGAGATATAAAGGCTGAGGGTGGGGATCCAAAATTTAGATAAACATGATTTAAACATACCTTCCTAGATCATTTAGTTCCTTAGTTATACGTTTTAATGAAGACATGGTGGTGTTTAGATTAGTGTTAGTTTGGTTTAGTTTGTACCTGACAGTGTATCTCTATGTGAGTAGAGGTGGAGAATATATAGTATTAATCAAACTTGTAACAAAATTTTTTATAACAAGAAGTTAGAAAAATTGAAATTGAAATTGGAATTGAAGTTGAAATTGAATTTAAATTTAAATTTGAAATCAAAAACTAAATTTTTCTAATTCCAAAAAAAATCGAGAAAAGCAGAAAATACTGAGAACAACTTCAAGACCTAGAATACGAAGGTTACAAAAAAAACAGAGAAAAGAGAGAGGGAGAGAGAGAGAGAGAGAGAGAAAAGAGAGACTCGACGTGACAATATATATACTAAAGAAACATGTCGGAAGTTCAGATTGAAAGAAAATGGAGCAAGTGTAAATTATATATATATATACCAAGTGAGTTCAGAAGAAGACAAGTTTCAAAAGAATATGATGGAATGCAACAGAATAATATATATGAATATTGTATTGTATTGTATTGTAATGTATTGTAACAACGATTCGATTGATGTCCATTTGTCTAACGCTGTGAAAAAACACAATTGTAGCCGGGTGAGAAATCGAAGTTGAAAAATTTCAAGACAGCTTGTCTGGAAAAGGACGGGGCAGAATACGGGTATCTATCTTACGTCGTTAGTGATTATGCCTATGCCTATGCCTATGCCTATGCCTATGCTCTACTTTTGCCTCTTAATCTTATCTTGTTTGGTCTGTGTGTGTTTTTTTCTTCTCTGTAGCTATAATTATGTACGTTGAGGGTTTTTTTCAGTTCAGTTCACTTGTTACTAATTAGTAACAGTACTGGTACCAGTATTTTATTTATGGTAAAGCAAACAAGGGGACTTCGTAACGGTAGACTTGTATCAGAAAGAGTACTGAAAACAACTATGTCATCATAGACAGCTCTCGTACTGGGGGGAACATGTACTTGGTTATTGATAAATAAGCCTACTGTTTCGTGGCATGTGATGTCGCACTACAGATTGCTTACAAGTAAAACTAGAGAAGGAAGAAAAAGGAAACTCTATCATTTACTTAATAACAACTTGTTCTGAATAAGGGTAACGAACTCTTTGAAAAACATAGATTGATTGAGATCTTGGAAGGATAGAGAGACTCAGGGTGTTCACTCTGCCCCGTAAAGGTTAATGTTGTACTGTATATCGTATCATCCTCATAGGAACATGTTAACGATGAAATATAAAGTAGAGCAAGTATAAAAATGAATAGTTATAATAATAATAATAAAAAAAAAACAGAAATTGGATGGGAAATTACTAATAAATTTAGTCAAAACTAACATCAACAAAAAAAAATCGTGTTCCATTCAACAAGGGATAGTCTTAGGACCACCTCCCATGAGAAACAAACTCATATTCTTCAATTTATCAAAACTCAAATTTGGTGTTTGATACTGTAACATCATTAATCATAGTGCACATTTATGACACAATTTATACTATTTATTTATATATAATTTATTATTCATTAATTATTGATTCTCTTTGATATCCTCTCTGTATTTTGATTATTAATAAATTCCACTAGTAATCATTTCATCTGGGATTCCATGAGATTTTCTCATAAATCAGAGATCTGTTCCTACTGAATCATAGTTTTTCTTCCAATTTGGATCAAGAGTGTAGAATTTATTGTTAATTATACAAATCCTTTATTTCATGAGATGTAATGGTGAGAAAGTACTTGAAGGTGAAGAAGAGCTTCAAGATGGGCTTATTCCCATAAACGTGTAGTTTTTGCTAATCGTTCCTTGCAACTAAGCTGGTTTTAGGACTCAATTCTCTTTTATTCATAAATATGAACTTGTAAATAAATATATAAATATATGGAATTATAGAATTTTCCTAATTCATTCAATTGTATTGCAGCGTCATCCCTGATCTACATTTTTACGAATTAGAAGGTTCCTTTTTTATCTGTCTTTTCAAATTAATAGTTATTATTGTCATCTTTTATTTAAATTACAATGGCCGGCAAGAAATGATGATATTAGTACTTGATAAATAGCATATAATATGTTGCAAATATATAGTTTATCTATATATACTTTAGTATCGAGTTAAATATGACATCTGTCATCCGATTATTAATAGTCCACGAATTTTTTATTTTGTATTGGTATTTTAATATTAGTTTACAAATTGAAGTTTTGACCAATTTTAACTTTATTACACTGTAACCATACGTTGAAAACATATAATTATTTATAAATACTAATGCCGATTATTAAAATTTACAGGATTACTTCGAACTTTAAAACTGTGATTTCCTTTTTTTTTTATGTAAGTTGTCTTTTTTATTTTAACAACGTATAAAAGATCTTCCAGGTCATCCTTGCTTTCATTTATTCATTCACAATAAAATTATTAAACACATTTACATAATCGATCACGTCACTTCGTGAAGGATATCAATCCAATTAGCTTACAGTGCTAACAAAGAATGCCCAGAAGTCTATATTAATCTGTGTTTATCAATTCCAATCAATAAATAATGTCATAAGCCTTTCACACTCTTGACGTTTATACAAAATGCATAACGGAATTTCGTTGGTCCAACCACAACATATTAATGGACTTGGAAAATATGCCCAATTTTTCGATTTCTATTCAACCAAATATATCAGAATGAATATATTCAAAGCTCTATTTTTTTGGAAATCAAGCATAGATCCAATAATGTGGTTGCAATAACTACTTATGCTTATAATAAGGTAAGTGTATTGGTTTACACATATCTACCATATAATGGTAAAAGTTTTACGGTTTAAGAGAAAGTTACCTTGTAAAGAGCGGCAAAAAGATGTACAGAAACGGAATTTTGGTCAGTCAAGAAAGGTCAATTTACTACTGTTGAATTATATAATATTTGTAGTTCATATTATTAATCAGTAGTATATATTTTTATTATTTAATTAAATACATCCTTAAAACAAGAACAATTTCACTATTCAGTTAACTACAATCATCTAACCGTACCTTGGAAATATATCCATGACTACCTTAATTTATGTCAGTCCGCTAAAATCTCAAATATCACATGACTTATATTTTCAAATTGACATTTCCTTTCATTGAAATCACGTGATATATAATCTATCTACATTTTATTTTTTCGAAAAAATTTTAATTTCCATTCGGTACAGACAAAGAAATTAAATGAGATGAGATGAGATGAGATGAGATGAGATGAGATGAGATTGAAAAAAACAGTTGAATTATGTTGTACTAAATATTTAGGTTTTCTCAATATAGTCAAAACTGCTAGGAGCATACCAATATAATTTCTGTGAAGAATAGGTATTGTGTATTAGTATAGAATTGATATACTCACATCCTCTATATTCCACCATCCTTTGAAACTTATTGGATCCAATCCAAAGAAAAATAAAAAAAGATGACTGAAAGCTTAGATCTGTCAGGATTGAGAGCTAAGGTTTCCTCAAAATTGAACGACTCTGCCAAAAAATCAGCAGGTAAAGCATCTAAGAAATCAAAAAAGAATGCCCCTTCTGAGGAGAAAAAAACCAATGAGAAAGATGATCTAATTCGCAAAGAAGCTTTAGCTTTAGGTGCTTCTGAAAAAGATTTAGAATTGATAAAAGGTTTGACTGATGATGAAGATGAATCTAAATCTGAACAGGAATTTGGAGATGAAAATGATGATGAGGTAGAAGAAGGTTTCCAAGATGACTTGAAAAGTTTTATGAAAAATATTGGCCTGGACAAAAACACAGTCGAAGACTTATCAGATGATGATGATGAAAAAGAGGAAGAAGAAAGAAAAAATGAGGTAAAAAAGTCTTCTAGTGAAGATTCCACTTCAGGTGAGTCTCTTAGTTCAAACTCAGAATCCGAACACGAAGAAGAGGAAAATGATGACGACGATGAAGAACAAGAATCATCAGTCGAAGAAGAACAAGAAAAAGAAGCTAAAAACAAAGATTTAGTTACCGATTTACACATGGTTAAATCTGATAAACTGTTAGTTCCAAATGACAAAGTGTGGTTCCAAATTCCATTAGATAATCAAATTAAGGAAAACATCAAGGAAAATGTTCAATTAACTGATGATCAAATTAAGGCTCTTTTTGAAAGAGGTAAAAAAGCCATTGAAGAAGATAATCAATTATACTATGATGAGTTTACTAAGGATTCCTCTCAAAGAAAGTTTATGTCTCAAATTTTAGCTGATGGTACTTTGAATGATAAAATTTCTGCCTTAACTTTGTTAATTCAAGAATCTCCATTGCACAATATCAAATCATTAGATACTTTAGTTGGATATTGTAATAAGAAATCAAGAAATTCCATTCTTCAAAGTTTAAATGCATTAAAGGATTTATTCTTAAATGGTCTATTCCCTGACAGAAAATTAAGATATTTCAAAAATCAACCAGGTCTATCAATGATGTTGAATAAGAGAACATTAGCTATCTTTTACTTTGAAGATTATCTAAAGAAATCATTCTTTAATATTTTGCAAGTCTTCGAAAAATTATCTCATGATCCAATTATTCACGTTAGATTACAAACTTTGAATCACATCTTTGACTTTATTACTCAAAAGCCAGAACAAGAATTTAACTTATTAAGATTAGGTGTCAACAAATTGGGTGATATTGACTCAAAGGTTGCATCAAAGGCTTCACATTTATTACTAAAGTTGCAACAGGCTCACCCAAATATGAAGAGTGTTATTGTAGATTCAATTATTGATGTTGCTTTAAGACCAAATGCTGATTATCATGCTACCTATTATTCTGTTATTACTTTGAACCAAACTATTTTAAAAAGAACTGAAGATGAAATTGCCAATCAATTGATTAAAACTTACTTTACCCTTTTTGAAAAGTTCTTAATTAGTACTGATAAGGATAATGCTGAGAATAGTGAAACCGTTAAAACCAAAGCCAAAGGTTACGAAGCTAAAAGAAAGAAGAACGTGAAAAAAGGTAAACATGGTGGTGAATCTGTTAAAAATGATAAGACTGAGGCTGAATTAGTTTCTGAAAAGAACTCAAAGCTATTCAGTGCTTTGTTAACAGGTGTCAATCGTGCATTCCCATTCGCAAAGATGCCTGCCACAGTTTATGAACCTCATTTGGATACATTATTCAAAATTACTCATTCTTCCAACTTTAATACCTCGATTCAAGCTTTGGTCTTAATTAATCAAGTTACTTTCAAAGCCAAATTGAATTCGGATAGATACTATAGAACATTATATGAAAGTTTATTGGATCCAAGATTGGTTACCTCATCAAAACAAGGTATCTATTTGAATTTGTTATTCAAATCTTTGAAGCAAGATTCTGAAAATATCGAAAGAGTTGAAGCATTTGTTAAAAGAATTCTGCAAATTTGTTTGCATTGGCTAAATGTGGGTACCATAGCAGGTTTCATTTTCTTGTTAACCCAACTTTCAAAGGTTTGCCCTCAAATTTTAAATTTACTAACTAACTCACCTGTTGATCATGAATATCAATCAGAAGATGAAAATGACGGTGAAGAGAAGAAGAACCAAAAATCCTACGATAGCCGTAAACGTGATCCAAGGTTTGCAAATGCTGATAAATCATCATTGTTTGAAATTTCATTATTTTTAAACCATTACCACCCAACTGTTCAAACTTATGCTGAGGCGTTCATAAATAAGGACAAATCGCAAGATGTTACCAAACCTGATTTAGGGTTATACACTTTATCACACTTCTTGGATAGATTCGTTTACAGAAATGCTAAACAGAAACCAATTACTAGAGGTTCCTCTATTATGCAACCGTTATTTGGTGGCTCTCAAATTAATGAATCGTTATTGGTTAAATCTAGTGATATGGTTTTGAATAAAACTCCAGTAAATACAGAAAATTGGTTGAGTAAAAAGATCAATGATATTAAACCTGATGAAAAGTTCTTCTACCAATATTTTACTACAAAGCAAAATGCAATTAAGAATGTTCAGAAGAAAGAAACCAGAGGCTTTGATGAAGAAAGTGATCTAGATGAAGATGAGGTTTGGGATGCTTTAGTAAAATCTAGGCCAGATGTCGAAGACGATAGTGACTCTGAT